TTGCCAGCACTAATAATTGTGCCATATTCAGGTAGACATAATATAAGCAGATACTCGTGCATAAGATTTCTGCATAGTCAGCAGAAAGGAAGAAAGCCTGCTTGAATTTAAGGAGGGGCAGTGATAAGTTCTTAAGGCTAAACTAATCCATGTCACTGTAGGACAGTTGGCACTTGCCCTACTCACCCAAGGCAAATAAAAAACTATCTACCCTCTGTAAAATACACTAGTTTAGAAGCCACACAATGTCCACAGAGACCAGCACTGCTCTGAATGCATGAACTCCACAACTCACATGTCACAGTTTGTCTGAGCAGGGCCCTCCAAGGGCCACAGGGTTCCAAGAGAGGAATATGGGTCACTGTTGTTGCTACTGTAAAAAGCCATCTCTTATTTTAATGCTCTTGCTCTCAGATGACATCTCTTCAATGGGTGTTGGTGATTCACTGACAAGGAAATACTCCTGTGACTCTTCCCTCAAGGACTACCGTCAGAACAAAGTAGTCTGAAATCCAGTTGGGATGTACTACAAAATCTAGCAGTTGAGTTAGAGACAAAAAAACCAGAACATTCTTGATGGCTCCTTCTAACAATAAACATTGCTGAATATTCCAGTTAAAACGATCATGATGTTTAGGGACTGCTTTAACATTTTTAATAATAAGTTTTAAAAATATTTCAAAAGCTGAGGAAAAGAAGAAATAAAAATAGGAGATAATGATTAAATAACAAGTTTGTGACAGTATCTGGATGTTTGGTTTTTTGCCTCCATAAATAATTGAAATCATATTTGTCTGTGTTGCAGGTGCCAGGCTGTACCACCCCTCTAACCTACCAATCCTATTGCTCTTCACACCTTCAGGGTCAGGTCTGCTCTCCTCTTGAGGCCCGTGGGCTCCTCTCACTAACATTAATGGCAGGCAGGCATGCACATCAGTGGGAAAATTAAAAGGATGTTTACCTGTTATTGAGAATTCAGCTTCAGAAGGAAGTCAGTCTGCCTTACAAACAAGTGACAAACCAGGATTTGAAGGACTGCTATAAACAGGACAGCTTTTTTTCCTCCAGAAAAGTGTTATAAGTAGAGGGCTCACTAGAACTCTAAGTTCAATGAAAGGGCATTCTGTTGTTACTTTCAAGCTGGAACAGCTCAGGCCAAAAGGCCTGCCCTCAAACCTCATTCCCTGATCTTACCCCAGACTTTCTGTTAGAATTGGGATGTGTAAGAGTGATCTGTACTCAATTCCTACATGAAAATGTCTCTCTTGAAGAAGGTTTCTTTTTCTGGTTCGCTATATTAAAACTGATATTTGCATTTCAGAAATCTTTGTGAGTTAGAGAGGTGACAGAAATTTTGCACCAGTACCTTAAAGTACAGAGTGTCCCTTATCTTTAAGGTCCAGTGACTGCCACAGGCAGCTTTTCATGGCCATGGGGAGTTTGCAGGAGTGAGCCATTGGGAAGAAAAGAGAATAAATCAGGAACAAACACAAACTTTAGACAACAAAAGAACTTCTCCAAAGGTGTGAAAATGGAAAGGTGATGCTGACACTGCATCTGCCATCAAAATTCATTGCAGAAATTTACAGATAAAAATATTTCCAACAGTAAATGCCATAAAATCTTGTTTTCAGCTCAAGTATTTTCTAAATTGATAGCAATGTTTAGCTCCCAGAAAAGCACATATGTTCATTCCAAGGGCTCCCCAAATTTCCAAATCTAACTACTAATGAGTTTAGCAGACTTCCACTTCATTTAGAAATTGTGTCATATTTTTCCCATAGTAGAGCTTACACCTTGCCTTGCTTGTGCCTTTGCAGTCAGACCTCACTGTGCAGCTACAGCGTGGACATCTCACATCCTGAGCATGAGGCAGCAGCACAGGGACCAAGCTTTTCATCCTTCCAGTGCTCCCCTGGTTCCCTGTGCCCCCTGGCTGAACAGGAGCAGCAGGATGGCTCTGCTCCCTTCCCGCTCCACAGCGATGTCCTGCAGGCGCTGCACAGCCTCTCTCCTTCGGTGCAGTGATTCCACGCTTGCCTGTCCTGCCCTTCACAGCCTTGCCCTTGACAGAAAGGAACTGACCAACTCCTTCACATTTATAATACTTTAGGATGACCTATGTGAAATGTTCTAAGCACTAAACCAAAGAGGTTATATACAGAAAGGATGCAATACTTCCACAAGAAGAGAATCTGTACGAATGTCACTGTTCTACAATTACTTAAGGCTACACTGACAGGAAACAGATTCAATTCAAGATCTGCAATTTCTACATGGTTTGCTGGCACACAGAAAAGTAACTAATTTGATACATTTTTTCAAGTACTTACTGTACTTTTGAACAAAGGCAAACAACAAAAAGCTATGAAGAAAACACAGCCAACTCTGGGGAAAATATAAGTGCCTCCAATTTGTTACTGATACTTTTGTTCTTCGGCAATTCTGTTCCATGCTTAAGACCTAAGTGAATGCACAAAACCACACTGTGTGAGCAAGCCCTTATGTAGGGTTTAAAAAACTCACAACAGATGAAGGCAGATTTCAAATACAAAGGTGTAGGTTTGCATAAGCAAAGAAAAACAAAATTACAAACAAATCACATCATAAGAATAGGTTCTAGGAAGAAAAAACTAACATGACAGCTATTGCTACTACAATTAACTCACAAAATCCCAAGGTGAACCCAGTTACTGGTGTGAGTGGTTTTGCACAGCAAATCCATGTTCTACTGTGTCAAAATTAAACATTCATTTCCATTCTTTAAACATTCAGTTTCTAGCCTCTGTACAGTATAAATCCAAATAAACCAATCCTTCTTCTCTGAAGCACAGACTGGTCCCGAATACTTTAGGAAAAGTCCTAGAGAGAGATTCCTCTTCCCAAATGAGCCCAACACAGAGTACAACAATCTCTGTTGTGTCTAAATTAAGATTTCAGTGCCTTGGAAATCTAAATGGTGAAATGCAATGCTGAAGCAACGCAACCTACAAACAGAAACCCACATCATGACACTGTTTTGTTTAGTTTGGTTCTGTAAGAGGTTATTTGCTGCACCTTCCAAACTGACTTCTTCATTTGTTCAGTGATGATGTTAAGTATGTTCTCCACTGGAATTACCTGACCCAGTTCTTGCTGTTCAATATTGTACATTTTAAATAACAAAACCTGTACAAAGAGACAACCATCAATTTTCAGTTTTAGGAAAGAGCATCTAAATATCCACAAACAGAATAGATAAAACCACTTCCACATCCAAAGAAAAACTGCTTCACAACAGCTTCTACGTCATTGCTTCTATAATATGGAAAGCTGCAAAGATTGGGAAAATCGGAGCATTTTCCTTATGCATATTAAATTAATGCTGATTTTTTATTAAATTCTACACTCAACATTACATTTCTTAAACTGGACTAACAAAACTGACTGAGAGAGACAACTTGCATTGTATTACTGCAAGACCATTCTTGTTTAAAGAAAGTTTTTGCATTATTTGTATTTAGTAAAAAAGCTTCTGTAAATGAAGCAGCAGTGCAGTATCAGGAGGAAAAAAACCCAAAAACCAAAGGTCTGTAATAATGTTTAAGTCTTTAAATCAACAAAAACTGAAAGCCTGGCTCTGCAAATAAATCACTCTAATGACACCAAATAAACCAAGACATGGAATTACAAAATCCTTTAAAAAGGACTTAATGAAATTGTTAAATAGTGTGAGAATTTGAAAACCATGTGAAATATCTTTATTACAGCATACACACTATCCCCAGCCTCACTGTACTTGACTGTCTGTATACCCCAAAGCCAGGATTGTTCAAAGGCATTATAAAGGAATTCAAGAGGAACACATCTGCCCTAATGAGAACACTTGAGACTAACACTAATTGTCTCAACAAAATCCAACACTTTACTCTTCTACCCACCAAGTGCTACAACAGTCAGTGAGGTGTCATATTAGTAAGACATTACCATCATTTATAAGAAAAAAGAAATTGCTTGTTTTCTTTACAGGAACAATTAAAATTAATCAAAACTTGTAATTACAAGCAAAAAGAATATTTAAATTGGAAAGCTTTTTAAAAATACATTTACTTGGTAATTTATAATTTTAGCAACATGGATTAGACTCAGCAGTCAGTAAATTAGTGTGAGTCCAGCTAAAGGCTTTGGGACAAATAGGAACCTCAGAAGCACTGATATTTCCCCAATTTTGGTGGATGCCAGGAGTGTTTATCTGGTGATACTGCAGCTCCCAACTGCATGATTAGAAAGCTGTATCCCAACCTGAACATAAGCAAAGCAAACTTCTATTTTGTGTGTGAACATTCGTGCAATTGCTGGCAAATCACTAGAAAAATAACTTACTGATATTCGCTTCTTCAAGAAGAAAGGTAAAAACCCCTGGTCTGCTCTCTACTTCCCACAAACAGCATATGGTAATGCCTAAAACAGCCCACAAGAGACCTGAATGGATACCTGTTTCAAGCAAAGCCATAGTATTTTGCATTCATTCAGAGTAGTTCAAATGCTGCTACTTCCTTCACAGTCTTTCAACCTAACTTCCAACTGCTGACATTTTAAAGAAACCTGTAACAATTTGTTTAATGAAAATATATTTTAGTAAAGTCGTGCTCTATGAGCTTCCTACATTGGAATACATGAATAGAGGAAGTGCTTTCAACAGAAAGTTACATAGTTTTACAGTACAACCTGTCTAAGGAGTTTTGGAAGGGACCAAACGAATGGTCTGGTCTCTTTGGATTAGGCAGAAGTACAGGCAAGAGGGAAAAACCCAATTTTTTGCCATATATAGAGCTTGTTCCTGTCACAAATTGAAGAAACATTAGTTTGATGTCAGAGTTCACCTGATGCCCAAATGCCAGTATTTTTCAAACCAACTGCATATCAAAAAACAAAAACTTACTTTACCAAGCTCCTGGAAAGAAACTCAGTGCAAAACAACAGTATATTTCTATTTGCTATATTATTAAGTGTTCTTTCACCAGTGGTTTTTTTTTTTTTTTGCTTTTGCTTTACAGACCATTAACTTTTTCTGAAAGTGCAAACTGTTGACCTTTAATCTGAATGCAGGCAGGTCAGAAGCTACAGTATTAAAGCAATACAAAAGGTACACAAGGAGGAGCTTACATTAATTTGGAGAACCTCGCACAAAATGTTTCTGAATTGAAAACCACAAAACAAACCCAAACAAATACAGCATCAGGTGGATGGGGAAGGGACCATTATCGTATCTGTGTACAGCAAGGCTCCTCTGACACCAAGGAAGTTCATGACACCAAGTGAAGATTCTGTATTAAATCCCACCATTTCGCAGGTTGTGCATCCTTTACGATGGAATGTTGACCACAATTTCCATTTTTCACTCCCACAACGAATCTGCTGATTGCGACCAGGGATGATCATCTTCCTGGGAGAACAAGCTCCCTGAGAACCATGGCTGCACTTTCTGCTATCCATTAGGATTCCAGTAAAGTATGCCATCTACAGACTTGCTGTCCTTTAGATTCCTTCATTTCAGTCCAGTGGTTGAGTTCGTCTTCTCCTGAGCTGTTGAGACCTAAGGAAATCCAGCCTATCATCTCCTTCCGCTTCATGCTGCGCTTATTGTACACGGACAGTATGAGCGTCACGTCCGAGAGCTGGAACAGTGCCACCTGGAAAACGAAGGTTTCCTTGTACACGGGGTTCGGCTGCCCTCGGCGGATTGAAGTTTTGCATTTGGACATCTCCTGCCCCATCGAGTTCAGCAGTGTTAACTTAACATATGTATCTACAAAAGAAGTCACATCGTGGAACGTCAGATACCTTGGAACCAAAGATTTGGAGAATGAGGTATTTACAGAGAACAAGGATATGGTGTATACCAGGATGGCTGAACACAGCTTAGTTTAGACACATGGAGAGATGGCAAGTAAACAAAATATTACAAACACACTAACAAATTAACTAGCTCCAGCACTACATACATGGGTGAAGTTAAAGGTATACCTCATAATCCTCTTCCCAGTGACCACCCCCCCGCCTTGTTTAATCTAAAAAAAACTTAAATTGCAATAACACTTAGCAAGCTCCAGCTAGCCACAACACTGTAAGCATACCATTGAAATTTCAAAGAATATGGATAAATGAAGTGGAATAAAGGCAATTAATGAAGTGGGAAAAAAATTATGTCAAAATGCAGCAATGATATCAAAACAGCCAGGATAAAATGCTTAAGAATAATCTCTGCATGGATGTGGTTCTCATTTTGGGCTTTTCAGTTTTATTTATTTTGAAAACCAAAATGTAGCAAAGTGCATTCAAAGATGGCAGTTTACACATAGAAAAACCCCTACTATTTCCTAGATTCATGAAGGAATACATTTACCGCATGTTTAAAGAAAAGCAAGTTTTTGCATAATTCAAGATGATCAAAAAGTAGCTTGTATGGTGCTTTTAAGCATACATTTAAGAAGCTGATGCAAGTAATGTAGTAAGCACACATTATGTATATATATACGTAATGTATATGTATACCCAAATGCGTATATAGGTATACGCATTTGGGTATAAACCCTTATTTTTAAATATCTGATTTCATTGGACCAAAAGCACCAAACCATGCTCCTACAGAAGGATGCACATTTCATGAAGTTAACTAATTATAGGAAATATAAAATTATATGAAACAATTTCATATTTAATTTTTATTCCTATCTTTTTATATTAATGGATAATATCAATTAAAGGTTGGAGTTTATGTTTAAAAAACCACATTGAGTATTTTCACTTTGCAGGTACACTGAAACCCCAACATCCATAATCAGAGATAAATGCAACTTTTGCATTAGAGAGTGCCACAAAAAATAAACATGTACTTTTATAAACTGGCATGGTAGGCAGCTGTGGATATTTTATTGCTGGCAGGTTTCTTTTGCATGAAAAAGACAACATCCAATTAGTTTCTACAGGAACTCACCTCGGATTATATAAACCTGTCCACCTATCAAGTGTTTTAGACAACAGAACAGTCCGTCTGACAACGGGGGGTGGAAAGCAGTAAAAGAAATAATGACCAGATGTCAATAGTTGGGTGAGAGAGGATCAAAGGTTAAAGTTTAAGAGGAAACACTATTCATGGGAGTGGAAGAACATGAAACCTTAGCACTATAGATCAGAAAAAGGACTGAACAAAAGGATTGTTAGGTAAAATTTAATGAAATGTAAATTTTGTGCAGTTTTTGTGTAATCTTTAACAAAAATTACATTGCTTACATAATGGTTTATCTTAGGACTAATAGACACTGGATTCAAAGCCACACTTACCATAGCAAGAATCCTCCAAATGATTAAGTTATAGCAGATTGGATAAAAATCACTGTATCCTTATCAAACCTTATGCTTTTTCATGCAAACTCCAGCATATTTAGAAAAACTGCACATTAAAGTAATTAAACTTCATATATTAAAAGCAATAAAATGAAAAATAATTGAACCAAAAACCCAGCTGGTTTTGCCCTTAACTTTTCTATTTTACTGATATTTGATTATAATACTTCAGTTCTTGAGTAGTGATGAACTTGGGCACAAGAATGACTCTGATGTAGTCTCTAAAAAGAGCTGAGGGACACATACCTGAAATTCAGCAATGGGTCTCTATTTAGGATGTAAAGACCTTGCTTATTAAAATCCACATATTTATGGATTTAATGTGTGTGTGTGTGCGCATGCATACACACATGCATTTAATATGCAAAAGCTCATACCCTGTTTCAAGTAAACCTTAAGGAAAATTGAGAAGCATCTTTTTCTTGGGCAAAATATTAACTGTCACACAGAGAAACAAAGAAAACACACCCACTGTTACTGCCTGCAGGATTTGGCCCATTTGCCTGTACTCAATTGCTAAATGAGTTACTATGCAATATAAATATGCAGTAGAGGAGCATGTACTAGCAAGAAGTAGAAATTTAGTATTCAGTTCATATTTGCTGCAGAAGCACTTCACAAAAATTCACAAGTTCCCAAGCCCTAGACTACAGAAATGTGGGAAAGAGTAATTGCTTCCATTTCTATCACAGTTCCTCAATACGAATGAAAACTGAACTGTTCATATATTTCGCAGCACTTCTCAGTATTCTGGACTGATAGTCCAAACAACAAATGTGAACAGGATATTTCTTCATCATCATCATCATCATCATCATCATCATCATCATCATCATCATCACCATCCTCACCATCCCTACGGGCCTTAGTTTTAATTTTGTGGAAATGATGGCACAGATTGAGGCTGGCAGATGTCCATGATGTACTCAACAGGGAGTTGGGATACGGCAGTGGCATGGACCTGGGTCCAGGAATTGAAAAGGTGCCACCAATGCTGGGGCAGGGGAGGAGGATGGCATGAAATAGCCCAAAGGGGAAGTCTGGATGCACAATATTCTGTGCATGGTTTTACCAGACCCAGAAAGTTCATTAGTTTCCAGCTTTCTAGAAAAAACAGAACTCTGAACCCACATCTGCCTAAACAGAACTGGACTATTGTTATTACAAATATCAAATCTTCCCCTATCCTTCACAGGGACAAAAGGTAGCATGGAAACTCTTCCCTCTGAAAAGGTTAGACAGAACATGGTTTTACAGGGCTATGTGCCATGTTCTATGCTCCTTTCTTGCAATCTGAAACAAATTTTTGACCCCAGTGACACTCACAACTGTTAGCTACACAGCAGGGGCCCACTGAGCACATTTTGGGAATAAGAATGAGCATCTCTGTTTTCAAAACAAGCACTGAACCCCTCTCACCTTGCATATTCTAAATATTAAATAAAAACTGACCATCTCTGAGAAAGATAAGCATCTGGTTTTGCTTTTAAGGGAACATATGACCTCTTCTCTCCCTTTAATTTCTTCCCACACCCCAGTGTCCTTGGACCTCTTTGGCTTTCCCCATCTGTTTCTACACTTTTTCTCCAAACAGGTGACTCTGGGGCAGCTACCCAATTATATAAAAGTATTAGAGATTCATCTATTGCCTTCCTTCTCTGGCCATGTTAACAAAGTCTGGCTCTGTCAGTGTGAAAAGTATAGAGAAAGCAAAGCAGAGTAAGGTGAGCCAACTATGAATAGACTAAACATGGGTCAAGAAAATGAGAAAGAGGAGAGAGCATCAGTATCAACTATGGCTTACTTCCTAAACTCTGAAGACAAAGTGAGATGTGTAAACCACTTACAAAATGTTGGCAGCCTAACACATAATCCAGTAGCAGATTATCTGCTAGTGCCATACTAATCTGAGGCTTAAAACCAGAAAGTGTAGCTGAAACCTGAGCCTCCTGATAAAATCAAAAGGAACAGGTAGGTATTTCTTATTAGCACTTAAGTAAATCAGACACGCCATCTTAAAAACAATAAAAATAGTTTAAAAAAAAAAAGTTTGTTACTGAACTTTCTGAAGCTATATGAAAGAGCTAGAGATAGTAATAACATTCTCTCCCTGTGACGTTCCAGCTGGCTCCACTTAAGAAGTATATGAAGTTCACAGATATTTCAGAAGTATATTTTTGAACAAATGCTTGAAGACACAATTCAAGCCCTTTTTGATGGTGAACATTCCTCCTGTACAGTAAATATGCCAAAGGCCTCAAGTGGTTGCTCCTTGTCTTTACTGACAATCCCAAATTACATATATTACCACATATATGCAGGCACATAGGCAATTAAAGACTGCAGCATCAACCCCTCCAGGAACAGCAATAACTGTTCAGAATGTTTATATTAATATTAACTGGCATGTACTTTCTCTTTAAACACTGACTTTTTTATTCTTGGCCTGTGATGTGAGGCATTAGTAATTTAGCAATTAATCATTATGATAAAGGTAATTTATTAGTCAGTCATCATGAAAAATTAAAACAGGCTTGTCAACTTACAATTAATATTTTGAATTTTAGATTTTTGCTATTTCCCAACTGACGAGAAATATAAAACATGAAACAGATTAGTTGATGATTGCTCTATTTCATTTTGATTGGGTAAGACTAAGTGATAAGATTGAAGTCCTTGCTACCAAGAGCCCCACCAGTACAGAAGCATTAGGATGAAAAAAGATTTTCACTCACTGGGTGGTCTGTTCGCTGCCAAGTTTTTGAAGTGGCTGCCTTTTATCACTTCTGCTGATAATCTTCCAGTTGTAGCATTATAAAGGAGGCCAATGAGGATTTCTGGAGCTGAGCCATGTACCAGAGACTGACAAGAGGAGGTACTCTCACTGCAGGACACTTCTGACATGCTCATTTGAGAGTCACAACCCTATAAAACAGATTAAAAGTTCTGTGTGTCTTATGGAATGATGTTACTGGGAAGTCAATTTTTAGAATAATCCACAGAAAATTCTGAAAGCAACTTAGTCACAATAACAAGTTCCATTAAATCACCCAATATGAAATGTACATTCTTAATATATGCTTAATTTGCACATGTTAGAGGGAACAATAAAGTGGTCTGAAATTAAAACAATTATTAGGTGCTTCATGATTAAGGAGAAATAAGAGCAGAAGATGAAGAACAGCCTTTATGATCCCTATTTACTTCAATTTCTAATTTAAGACCTGTAACATAATTTGTCAGCATCCTGGAAAACATTAAACCTTGGTCCTTTTACTTTCCAAAAAATGGACAACAACAGTGGAACCTTGAAGATAATAAAATGCAGAAAATTTTTATACATCCTTTGTAAAGGTTATTCTCTAGCCTGAGAATTTATGAGTAGCAAAATAACAGAACACATGCAATTAGAAAAATGCACTCTGTCTAGCATAAATTAGCTTACAAGGAATTTAACTGGATCCAGGGACACAGAACTGCAATAGTACCTTTGTCTTGGGTGGGAAAGGAAGAATGCCATCCAAAGCTCAGGAAGCAATGCTTTAATTTCAACCCTGAAAGCTTCCAAAAAAATCTTTCATGCATTCTGAATACATCACATCTTTAATGGGAGGTTTTATTACTAATTTTTATCATTTTAACTCCTCATTATTGGCATTAAAAAAGGAAAAAATGAACTTTCTTTATGCTGCCATGCTAACCACACCATAGTTGCTCCTATTCTCATTTGCACTAGCACACAAGAGTGGTACCAAAAAACCAGAAAACTGGATGGCAAGGAGCCAATGGAATGACAATGTACTTGGTAACTGAGGAGAGACTTTTGAATTATCAGCACATCCCTTTATGATTCTCTCAGAAAAAGTGTAAATTGGGTCCACAGATTTTTCAAATATGCTTTGACTCATTTGGGAACCTGGCATCACTCTTCCAAGGAGTCATGATGATATTGTGAAGCTGATTCTTCCAGATTCCAAATGTCTCTATCATTTCCAACAACAGCTGACATGGGCATAAGATCAGACCTAAAACCTAAATAGCACAAATCCTCATCAAGATAAATGTTAACTTTATAAGCAAGTAACTTCAGCTGACATATAAAGCCCACATGCATTATAGAATCTCAAATGATAGAAGACACAATACCCTTTTATCCCTTTTATTGACATTTTAACTAGTTCTTTTCAATAGAACATTTCCCGAAAGTCTAGCAGAAGTTTCAAATAGCAATCCAGCTCCTCATTAAGAAATATTAACTATTGTTAGCAAATGTATTCTTACTACTGAAGAAGGACCTCAACAAATTTCTCTGACTTTCCTCTCCCAAGCTGCAAATTCAGAAACTTAAGTCTTTGGTTATTTCTCCAAAAGCTCTTTATTCAGTGGCAAGAATAAATTTCAAACTGCTTGCAAATTGTTAATTGCTGAAAATTAATTACAAGTATATATTAATTCTCTGATCTTTGTCATTCATAGAACAGGAAACCTTTGATTCCTAACTTCAACAGAAGGAACAAAATGGAAAGTTTAAAAGAAAGATGACTTGATTCAGCAGTCAGAGTATACACTGCACACTTGGAAAACCTCAGCCTGTCACAACTGCAGCTATTACTTAAGCTTTCTGGTCTTTTACAATTGTAACACACTATACCCATGGTGCTGATTCACCTTATCATTTTTTGAGCCAGGAATTTTAGCACAGTCCACCTGACACTGTTCAAAGCTTAGGTCTCAAATTTGATTGAAACCATGCTGCAAGCACACAAAAAAAAAAAAAAAAAAAAAAAAAAAACCACACAAAGATGGCAGCTCAGTAACATTGTTCCCAAATCCTCCAAGGGCTTTGATATGCTGAGAGAAGGTGACGATAGTGCCTTTTCCTAACTGGGATTTATTTCTACAGTTTACTGATGTCCTAAGAGGGACTTAGAAACCACTTTATGACAGAGTCAAACTCACTACAACGGGTATCAGACCAAGGTTTAGCCTGTTAGAAACAGTGAATATTAAATGAGTAACGACTGAGTGGAAATGAGTCCTGAAGTACCAAGGAAGAGAAGACAAGTAGCTTCTGTGTGGTATAATAGAGAAGCAGGAAAACAACTGAAAAATTCAGTGTGTGGTATTCCAAAGCTACATAAGCATGGACTAGAAATACCATTCCTTTACAGCAGAATCCTGAGTAGACAGGAGAAGGACAAGACTGCCTTTTTCAAGGCCAAGCAAAAGGATCCCAACAGCTGAATGGTGGGGTGAGAAGACCAAGGTGATGCTTCAGAACTCTAAGTGGATGGAAATGTAACTAAATGAGTGTACCTTAGAAGTGTTGCACAGAAAGAACCGGTAGATGTAAACTAGATGAAAATCTGGAGAGAGCATCTAACTTAAATATTCTGCTACAATATTTTCTGAACTAAAATATTTTTGCAGGTTTGAGAAAAACAAATGAATGTTGTTTAATCCTTATTTTATAATAAACTTACGTATCTCCTTCCTACAAAACTGTGGGGACACAGACATGACATTAAAATAAAGCAATTAAATTCACTAAAGGAAAAATCTAAACAGCACTTTGTTTTCCCTTTCACTCTAAAAGAACCTCAATTTCAATTCATTTTGTTTCATGCTGACGCAAATGGATTAAAAAAAATACTCTGTTTTTTAGTTATGAACTGGAAAATCCTAATACAAGAGAAAGTGAAATGTTAAGAAGGAAAACAAAGCAGATTAGAAGTCAGAATGATGTTACAGAGTTAAAAAAAATAAACAACATTAACCAAAGTATACCTTCTGTGGCTATAACAAGGAAGAAAACAGAGGATTTAGGGACAGGTATGTAAAAGACCTGAGGAAAAGGGGAGAGCAAGACTGCATTCTGTCAGTTTTCTTTTAAAAGAAAACAAAAATTTTATGAGGAAGAGAAGAAACCAGAATCAAGAATCATAAGAGACAGCTGAGATCAGCTGGGCTCAGACCAACAACTAAAGAAAGACTTTCCCTTGCAGGAAATAAAAGCAGAGATATTGAGTACTATTAGATGTCTTCTGAAAAGTATTTTCTCCAGCACACAGTTTATTGTTCACATTGTGGAAATCCAGTCATTGTTTTAAGGAAGATATTCCATGATAATAACATCTGTGGGTAAGTAACCTGACTTTGTGCTACAGCATATGCTGCAGCAGAACTGGAAAGAACAGCTTTATTAAAGTTTCTGTTTAGAGGCTGTTTTTCTGTTTACACAGCTCAGAATTCTAGAAGAGCACTAAAAAACTCATCAAGAAAAAAGCCAGACAAGAAGTTACGCTTTTACCTGCTCAAAATATAACCTTCAAAATCAAGTGCCAAATTGTAAAATATCAACACTGAAATTGCTCATTGGTACAACATGAGTATAGATGGAGCTCCAATGACAACATTACAGTGCAACCAGATGCTTTTCACCTCCATGCAGGTCTGCATTCAAGCTGTCTGTAAAGCTCTCCATAGCCCACTTTGGTACTGCTGCTTCCCTATGGGAAACTTAAGATTCAGACCAAAAGTTACTATTTGTTAGAAATAACGTCTGTGTAAGATTATTTTCATAAAGTTTCCCTCTCATCCTTTATATACACTGTGTGTAATTTAACAAGCAGGGAAAAGAAGGACTAAGGTTCCATAAGAGCAAAGGCTTTTCAAGGTCACTGAAGCACCAGAAGAGCCTAGTGAGAACTGTCACAAAACCTTGTATGTGAATTTTTAAGAACTTAGACGAACAGTCAAAGTGTTACTGATCTGCCTACAGTGCAAGAAACTGTCTCTTGAGGTTGTCTCCAGGATGTTAATACTAAATCCTGAACCCTTTTTGTCAATTTAGCTATAAATACATTATTAACAGTAAACACTTCAAAAAAAAGGTGAAGTCTATTACAAATATTTGGTTCATATATCTGTCTTACAGCAGTATATAAAAAATGTTCAGCTTTTGAATTGTCTAATACAAAGCTATGTGCAAAGGACCTAAACTTTCCCATATAAACCACAGGATAGTACTTTGTAATAAAGTTAGTCTGATTTTATTTGATCAACACTTACAAGAATTGCTGCTTTCCACTGGATTGTAAAAGTAGTATGTGTCATATTCTACAAAAACTTAATTACTAATTCTCCAAACTATTGTCCTTGATGACTTCTTTGCATATATTATCTGGGGAAGAGACATTACTTCCTAATAAATATATAATAAAAACCATTCCCATTAAGCAGGCTTTGTATTTCATATGTTCCCATTGTACAAAAGCTGGCAATCAAAAAAAGAACACTCTTTTTTCCCCTCATACCACATGAGGGGACATGAACACACAGAATGCATGATGTCAGACTTCAGCCCCTGAGAAGTATTTTCAATAGTGTTTTTCTCTCCCCTCTTACAACATAGAGAATTATCTATTTGCATCCATGGTAAAATATGTAAAATGTATTTATTTGTCTTCCTTCCCCATAATTCCATGGAAACACCATATTTGTTACTTACATATTCATTTCCTACTGTTATTTTTTATACCCTGAATTTCTAATTTCTGCTTATAATTTCTGCTCTTAAGCCAACTGGAGTTAATGACAGGGAATAATGTGGCCATGCTCTCAAAGCAGTTAAAAGTTCATTTTCCTCAATGACCAGGTTACAATCATATCTCTGTAGGCTTACGAAATAAGAATCTGACTCTTTTGGCTTTTCAAAATATACACAGAAGAGATGAAACCTTGCTGACAATCCTTCAGCAACAAAAATCTGATTCACAGCATGTTACTTGTCAAAATGTCTCTCTCCAATTTTAAATGTTAATGTTATACCACTGATCTCTTAAAGAATTTTTTTAGACATTACTTTTTCTACTTCTAGATCAATACAACTGAGAGGTTAGGGAAGAAAATATGAATCCTAGAAA